ATACTTTGTGGGGTCTGCCACGCCTCCTTCTGCCTGTTACATACTTTTAACAAAACCATTATACCCTGATTTCCCATTTTCAATGGGTTCAGGGTATAATGAAGCACCGGCGCACGTGGCGTATGCGCAATATCCACAGCAACATTTTACTTCTCTGCTTCCTCTTCTTCTTCTTCGTGATGTTGTTGTTGTTGCTTTTAATGTGCTGTAATTAGCGCCCAGCTGACCAAGCCAAAGCCAGCGTCAGATTGCATCCATCATAACGCCAACATTTCGTTATGCCAGAAACAATTTGTCTCGCAAGTTGTTGAACTTAAGTTGATGTCAGAGTGACAGTGTTTCATAAATATTTAAAGCCAGTCGGAGGATTTATTCGGATAAAGTGGATCTGCAATCTGTTATAGATTACTTTCTTCTCGGAAAAAAATAAATAATCAAAAGAACCTTCAAAATATAAAAAAAAGTAAACGCTTCGAAAAATTTCGCTTGAATATGACAAGGCTATCAGAATACCCTTATTAGCATTTTGAATGGATGCGAAGCGTGTAAAATTACTGGAAAGCAAAGCCCAAGCAGAAATAAACATGCAACAACTTTTTGTTTTTTTCCTTTAGCAATTTCTAAAAGCTTTAAATGCTGCAGATGCGACTACTTTCTCTAAACTATATAGTATATTTTAAGTTGTCCTGTATGTATGTTGTATGCGCGCAATGAGAATTCTAGATTAAGAACTAAGAATTTGATCAGCGTTTATATATTTTGAGACCACTACGAATGATTAATGTTTTAATTATTTACATATGTGCATTACAATAGCTTATGATTGTGAAGCGAGTAATGTTTAAAGGGTATCCGAAGTGCAGTCTACTTTGAGCACCAGATCTTGTTACTCATTTCGTTTGCACTGCATAAGGCGATTTCGATTAACAAAGGCAGCTGCACTTCCGCATTTGATGGCCTACATGCCGCAGCGCCAGCCCGCCCTTGCGGTTGGCCAGTGTTGGTAAATGGCCGCCGCATTTCATTTATTTAAACTGTCAACAGGCGTTAAAGTAGGCTGACTTATCAGCAGCAAGGCCGGAAGCACGCACACACACAGCTAGGTGCCCGCACACGTCGCATAGCCCGACGCCTAGGCTGCTTTGTGTGCCTGATAAAATGTTATGAATGGAATTCCGACAGCTCTGTGTGTTAGGCACATTAATAAAAGTGTCGAAGCTCAGCTGGGGGTGGGAAGATGGCGAGCTGTGAACGGTACACGGAGTCTCCCACGCACGCAACCTTCAGCAGCGAGTGCTTGTCGACGCGATGTTTGGCCTTGCAACGGCCAAGCCTGAAAGCGTGCAACATGGGATAACAACAGCTTGTAGCCTTTTGGGCAACATATTTGCCACATTTGCAACACTTGCCTGCTGACTGTGTCAAGGACCGTGTCGATGGGTAGACAAGCGAGCCACCGAACGAGCGAGCGAGCGGCAGAGCGGCTAAAGATGCAGGGCTCATAATTGCGGAAAAGAATAACAATTAAGCATGCTCAACTAGCAGATACCCTGTAAGTCGGGAGGTAGGGATTGAAAGAGGCGGAGTAGAAAACTAGAGGCGCCTGTAATGATATATCACTATTGTCTACATATAAATATATGTGTGGAGGACATACAATAGCTATTGACACTAAGTTCAATTGTTGGCTAACTACAAGACATCAAGAACTATAGAGCCTGTAGATCGAGAGTGAGATTGTAAATTCAGATAGATATCATGAAATTGCAGATCAGTTCTTAAGGATTGAGAGAAAATATAAAACTCTATAGGAGATATAATTGTGATACAAAGATGATCTGTCCAGCTAAGCGATAATCTAGAAATAAGGTAAGCAAATCGAAATATATAGTATATATTTATATATATTATATTCATGAAATTGTTGACAAGAACTATAGAATTATTCTTCTGCCAGTATGATCCCTTTTTCTAATCCTCAATATACTAAATATCATTTTTACCAAAGTAAGATATGTCAGAAAAGAAATACAAAAATATAAAAGGAACTACGCGTTTATTGA